TGTGTGTGTGTGTGTGTGTGTGTGTGTGTGTGTGTGTGTGTGTGTGTTTGGTTTTTCAAGACAGGGTTTCTCTGTGTGGCCCTGGCTCTTCTGGAACTCACTTTGTAGTCCAGGCTGGCCACGAACTCAGAAATCCGCCTGCCTCTGCCTCCCAAGTGCTGGGATTAAAGGTGTGTGCCACCACTGCCCAGCAAAGTAGAATGTTTTAAAGGTAAAAAGGAGGGAGAGTTGAAAGGTGAGTGTCCCAACTCTGCCCCAGCTAAGGACAGGGAAGCTGCACATCCTAAAAGTATTTTTCCTCGATGCCTTAAAGGATTTCATTGGAAAAAGTTTTGCCCTTCTAAATATGATAAAGATATCAATAGGCAAGCCCATTTTGCCTTTAAACTCCAAAAAGGGCAATCCGCAGCCCAAACAATAAGACAGAAAACCTATAACCATATCCTGTGGGATATTAATATTTTTGAAGGCTCATACCCCAAACTCAATATAAATATTGCAGGAGAACCATTTAAATGTCTAATTGACACCAGAGCAGACAGGACTCTGATTCAAGGTCACATAGCATTGGGACTAATCCCTGGACCACAACTAATGGGCATAGAAGGCTCCTCCCAGGTGTATACCACAAAAGAGGTCTTCAAATGGGAGGATCCAGGTGGTGCCATTGGCCTTATCAGACCTCTTACCTTGGACAAGGCCATCAACCTGCAGGGGAGAGATATCTTAGAAGCCCTAAATGTGGTCCTCTCAAGTAACATGGAAAGTGTGTGCACCTAGATAGAGGACCGACAAACACCCTCCCAGGGGTCACCCCCAGTTTTAAGAGCCACTGTTAGGTTTGATATTCCCTGCCTGCACTGGGTCTCAGAGGAGCCTGCTTGGTTTAACAGTGGCCTTTACCCGGGGAGAAATGAGAAGTTATTAACTTAACTCTTACTCCAATATATTTGTCCTTCCTGTAGCCCCTGGAATATGCCCATACTTGCAATATAAAGGAACTCCAGGTGATGGCAGCTATTATAAGACCCACAAGCTATCAACCAGACCACTAGGATCTGGGAATCCACTCAGTGGGGCCTTCCCTTGTCTTTGCAACTCAGGCCAGTACTCCACTATTGGTCATAGATATTAAGGACTGTTTTTTCTCTATTCTCATATACAGCAAAGACTGTCAATGTTTTGCCTTTTCAAAAGTCCCCAGAATTAACAACTCTAGGCTAGCCTCCTGATTTGAATGGAGAGTCTTCCCCCAAGAGATGCCCAACATCTCCATTATATACCAGGGATTGGTTGCTACCATCTTGAAACTATTTAGAAAAGGAAATACACATTATTATATGGATGATATCTTGGCCTTGGGAGATCAAAAAACTTCACCATGACCACAAAGACTTATTTTTCTTCTCTCTAGCAAAATAAGATTCAAAATAGCCCTGAATAAGATATAATCCATCACCTCTGTAGAACAAGTGGAACTGTGGGAAGGTTGAATGGATTCAGAAACCCTGGTAACTCTAACTGAGAACTGAAGCTTTTTCTTCTACTCCTGACCCAGTTTCTGTCCTGGAGCATGTGACCAAGGCACCCCACATGAGGACTGTGACAACTAGTCACAGAGCACAGAGGTCTCCATGCTACTGAGGTATCTAGAGGCCCTGAGGGTTTAGCCAATATGCTTCCCTTCCCAGGACATTCCTTCCTGCAAAAGGTATTTAATCTCTGGTCCACCCCTGAGTAAGTGGTATGCATCCATTTTCCATTGCCAATAAACAGCTTGGACAAGTAAGGACTGTCTCTTATCAAGAACTACTGTGGGAGAAGGGTTTGTCATATGGAGCCACAGAAGGCCCCTCTGCACTCCCAGACTCTCCACCAGATTCTCCACCTCTCATCCAAGCTGGAGAATCCACCCCTACTCCCCTCTTGCCCCTCAGACTGAGGGCTCAACTCTGTTCCCACCTCCCTATGACCTAGCAGCATCTGGATGTCCAGTAGTTTGGGAGCCTCCTGTTTCCAAGCGTGTCCTCAGCCTGGGGGCCTCCTCCATTCTTTGCTCCTCCACAGTTTGACTGGACATCTGAGAGTCAAGAGACTCTAGCTTGGGCCTCCCATTTCTCAGACTGTTTTCCTACTTCACTGGAGCCCAGCACGTGATAGCAGCACAGAGTGAATGGAGTCCAGCATTACAAGTTTCACCTGCCCAGTAGCATTGCCACAGCATAGCAGGAGGTGGCCTCCATGCTTCTCCCTAGCAGGAATACCTAACATTTTCTTAAAATTTCTTTTAAACTTCAAAAATCATATTTAATCTATTCCCATAGGTCAAACCAACTACATTAATAACCGTTATTCAAGCCTTAACAACCAGTCCCCTTTTACAGACAAGCTGTTACTGCCTATCCCTGATTCATCATTAACATATTTTCTTCTTCATCCATCCAAAGCAGATAAATCCTCAACTCTTCCCTCTGCTTTCCTTAACACAACACATTTAATTCCCCACTTAAAGGATTCCCTCCAGGACTAAATTCCTCAAACACCCTTGCCTTTTTTCTAGGATATTACAACAAACCATGATATGGTCCCAAGGAGATTGTTACAGGCTTAACATATACTACCCACCCTATGCAGACATCCCCCTGCTGAGTTTCTGCTCCCCTGTTGTGATTACTCTACAGTTTTATCTCTGCAAAAGGGAAAAAGACAGTGCTGGCACCACAGGCCAGGAGACTCAGACAGAGAGCTACCCAACATTTCCTTGGATCTGCTTGGGGCAATGCTGCCTTTGTCCAGACATATCATCTAACTGAAGACTTCTGAGACAAGCAGATGCTGACAGTCTTGGGACCTTCCAGTGACAGATAAACTCTCTTGCCAGAGCCTAATGGCTACCAAACATGGAGAAACTTTCATGATGTCTATATAGATGTTGTTTAAAACCGATGTTAGTACCTTCACAAACTCTATACAAACTCACTCTCAGTTTTAGTCCACTAAATATTTGTTTCAGTAACCCCTTGTCTTCCCAGCCCCCACCCCTCTTTACCCCTCTGGCTTATCTTGTGCTAACCCTCTGGCTTATGTTG